TGGAACGATCCAACCAGGGAAATCTCTTGCAATTTGGCCTGAACACCTCTCATACCGGTGTTTCACGATGTGCAAACTTTCAGAGAAATCGACCGGGGAGAACGTGGTGAGTACGTGGGTCCTTCGTCTCGCGTATGATTTGAATGGTCGCGGGGACAGAAGAACAGTAATTTTACGACTCCCAGCGGTGCAAACAGACCGCGGCCATGTTTTCTCTGTCGGCCGCGATCACGTTCAAAAAATCGATGATGCAATGCATGCGCAGAGGCCTGCGCAGTGCGTTCGCTGACATCCCTACTCCAGTGGTTTTATATATCATAAGTTATTCATAACAAAACCTGCACAGTAGCGCTAGGGAATTGAAGCTGAGCTAAACTGCCGCCGGGCACACACTGTTATTTGATTCTTGTGAAAACTCACCGAGAGTAGCATAGCGAACGTTGTGCAAGTCAGCCTCCAGAACCTCTTTGCGATTGCCGGCCTTGCGCCGCGAAAGGAAGATAGCCTCATTGAAGGTGCGGTCTGTCAGCGCTCGGCGCAGCTTCGTGCTGTGCTCTTCCGGAATCTGCAGCTCCTGCAGTGCAGGCTGGATCTGCTTGGTGAACTGCTCCCTGCAACGAGCAGTGTTCAGATATTGCCAATACACGCCCGAGACAACACAGATGCCAATACACCCACATACACACCCACACACACCCATACACCCACCACACACACACGCACACACGCACACACACCACACACACCACACACACACACACACATACACACACACACACACACACACACACACCCACACACACCATGTACCATGTACCATGTATACGCCCGCCGCAACAGAAGCATGCAAATCTGCAAATGCACCGGATGTGCACCCACAGATTTTCTCTTATGGCATTGATAGCGGACAAGGTGTGAATGAGACAGATCAAGACTAGCGCCAGATAACTGTCCAATCCACACAACCTGCGAAGCCATGTGAATCGATCACCGATGCACATCTGGTCTACACCACACGGAGTACATTGGCATAAAACGGCCAAGACAGTTACCTATGCACACCCTACACTTGCTGGGGTAACCAGTATAGACAACACGTGCTTTGATAGAAGCAGACACTAGATGCACTGGTCCCTTGAAGTGAAATTGGAGTTACACACACACACACACACACACACACACACACACACACACACACACACACACACACACACACACACACACACACACGCACACACACACTCATACCTTTGGACCTTTGGAAAGCCCATCGCCAAAGGCGATGCTAGCTACACACTCATACACACACACACACACACACACACACACACACTCATACACACATAGGAGTGCTGAGTACCAGACTGCGACCGATAAAACTCTGACATGTCGTCATCAAAGGTACAGAGTACATGATCCAAAGACACTGGCTTCTGGGTACGAGATACCTGCATCCCATCAACTGGTTGGAACGCGCTCTGCCAGGCCAGAACTTACAGTTTACGAGCACACTAGATATACTTATAGCAGCCTCTCGCACCCCCCCCCCCCCCCCCCCCCCGTACACACATACAGAGGTCTCCAAAAAGAACCGCACAAGTACGTGATGACGGGTTCATGGTAAGACTTGCTAGCATTTTCTCCTGGTATCGGATTCGGGTAGTTTCCACGGGTAGCACGGGTACCCGATCGGGTACTGTTTCCATGGTAACACCACAATGCACCCCTTCCCTTACACACTGGGTAGACATGCGGAGTATTACATGAATTACGTACACGTGCACTGTAGGTCTACATGATGTCATCTGCGACTTCGGGTTTTCGGGTACTATTCTGTACCCGTCTACCCGAGGTCCTCATGGGTAGCACGGGTACTCGACTACCCGTGCACACCACTAGTTATACTGTTGTTACTACTACTACTACTACTACTACTACTACACACACGCATGCACACACATATATACACACACACACACACACACTACTACTACTACTACTACTACTGTAGCTTGGTTGCCACAAGGGCCACACCACTCCGAAAGAAGCCAGAGTCATTGTCAGGAGCAGAAACGGAGATGACGACTCAGGTCACTCTGTCGACGGAACTGGCGGTTGCAGCGAGAACTGCGAACACCATACGACGCTCTATCAGACTTGGTTGCTCGATGGCCACGGTCGCACTTGTGACGTCTGAAACCAGGCACTGACTTGAATTGCCGATTGCATGTCACACACAAGAGAGAAGCTGGGACGTTGAGCGGAATAGGTGATGCCGGCGCGGACGCTTCCGATGGTTCCAGGGGCAAACAATGATGTACACGCAAGCCACCACGAGAGTGAAACCACCTCCTGCATGTACCACACTGCACAGCACCACGCTGCTCCTGGATGGGGAGACTTCGCTCTGCGCTACACTTGTGTCTTGCTTTGTCACCTGGCCGACGAAAAGAACGGTGGCAGATAAGACAGTCCACCCGTTGAGATTGGTCATGGGAAGGACCGCCGAGGCTCGGCCCAACGACAGACACCCGCCAGGCAGACCGATCCTGAGCAATCCCATACCAAGCCAGATGTTCAATGCCGATGTGCCGAAGATCAGCCGAAATCACATCCCTCCAGCGACGACGGGGACCACACGCAGGCCGAGGCGACGGTAGGAAGCCAAACAACAGCTGCTTGGGCACACGAACATCCGACATGCGGGCCACATGGCCAAGCCATTCAAGCCTCCGCTTCTGAAGCCGGGAGGACAATAGCGATGGATCACCCCACATCTCTCGGAGCTGCTCATTGGTGATGAGCACACACACACACACACACACACACACACACACACACACTCACACACACCTGTCCTGTCCTGTAGAGTCACTGCCGCAAAAGGGTCACGTGATCCCATCACTGGGAAACTTGAGAAGAGAGAGAGAGAGGACACGACGCTCGATGACGCTCCAGGTGCACGGGTAGTCGCATCCGCTTGCCGCATATGCACACGTGCTGGAAGGCTGAGCGCTCCTCTGCTGTTGGTCTATGAGCCACCCTTGAACAGCGATGCCTTCCCCGTCCCCGGACACCGCGAAAGCAGCGACCACACCTGTCACAATGCGCGGCACAACATCCCTCCGCCGGCGCCGACGCTCCGGTAGTTCCAGGTGGCACTGCGGCATCCACCGTTGAGGCACACACATGCCGGACCAAGCCACCGTGGCTTCTCAGCCACCGTCCACACCGCCCGCACTGACTGGCGCCCCGCTGCTCAGACACAGGCCGCGCACGCTCCTCCAGACACTTATGCCGAGCCATGTCTCCTTTCCGTGCAAAATCCCGTCCGCATACCGTACATACCACTCACACACACACACACACACACACACACACACACACTCTCTCTCTCTCTCTCTCTCTCTCTCTCTCTCTCTCTCTTCCGAATACAAATTACAGCCGACCTACATGTATAACGATATTTACATCAGAAGAAGAAATATCGTTATACGGTGATAATGTTGCATGCGTGTTGTGTGGTATACACGCGTTACAGAGCCATAGGAATACGGTGGGAGGCTGGTCCTGTGGATGGGCGAACGTGTTTATTGTCTGTCTACTAGTAGTACATGTACATGTGTGGGTCGTATTACTTGCATTTCTTACCCTGTTGGCACGTTCAGACCACCTGCTGGAGAGGTGGTGACATCACGCACATCTACAATCTCAGGTGTAACGGTCTCCTCCACGGCGGAGCTGCATAGCCGGCGGGGCAGCACCGACAATGAGCTACATCCTATATAGCACACAGTAATTACACCGATCGTTTGGATTTCAGCAAATATTATTATGCCAGCACTGAAGTTTGACGAACTTCTATCATTCTTTGTTTGTTTTTACCTTGGAAAGGTAGAGCAAATGACCTGGCAGCCGCACGCAAAGGACACGCCATTGTGGATAGAAAATCAGCTTCAGTAGATAGTCCCTCTCAACATCTAGCAGATTGAAAGCTGAAATAATTCAAGCCAACTTCAGTTCAGAGTTAATTTTTCAATTATTTCTTTTTCTCTTTATTGCACACCGCGCATTATCGCGATCTGCTGTGTTCATTCTTTGAGATTTTTTGCGATGAACTCTGAACTGGTACGCGGTACGCGGGCCCGGGCTCTGAACGCCATTTCTAGTTGGCATAGTTACATGAGATAACATGATATCGCTGGATCACGTATGAGCCGTGTGTACAAAAATAGAGTAGAGTCTACACTGGTCTACGCGCCTGTGTGCAGAACCGCGGCATGTGTGTGTTGAGGTTTTGTGCGTCAACATGCGAGGCATCCAGCTGATCTGCTGAGCGTGAGCGACCCACACACACGCTGCACGCGATACAGCTGCACTGCGCTATACCACTACTGCACTAGTTCTAGTGTAGTTGATCCAGCACACAAGAAAACTCAAACCAAAACAAAGCTGAGAAAAAATAATTGGAGGGCTGAAAAGTATTATTGAAGGTGGAATGTTCATAGTAAGTTTGAATGTTACCAACGTCAGACACATCGCAAATTCCAGGATAGAACCGTCTGCAGTTCTGTATTGGCCTGGAATTCAGCTGGAATCTTGTGGCAGGAGCGGAAAGTGTTCGTCGTGCCACGTTCGTAGCTGTTTGAAAAGCTTTTGTTCTCATACAAACGTTTCCAAAAAAAAAGAATTTACCTTTGAGAGGAGCGTTGAATACACCGTGTATTTCCGTTGCATTCCGAATGGAATGAGGTTGTTAATCGGACATGATGTGTTGGATATAAGGCGATGAGTATTGAACATGCCCGGAGCGGTCCTGTCGCAATGGAAACGGCTGTGTTGGAGAGGTGTGATGCCAATTTGTCGTCGCAGCCTGCTGATTTGAATTGTGCAATTGAAAAACAGTCACAGGAGCCATTGATACAGACATCTGAGCAACAACAGCAGCAGCAGTCCGTAGGAGCAGTAGTGGCAGCAGCAGCACAGCATGCTCCCCAACAGCAGCAGCAGCAGTCCACAGCAGGAGCAGACGATGCTCACCAGCATCACCAGCAATATCAGTCCATAGCAGCAGCAATGCAACGTGCTCCCCAACAGCAACTGCACCGGCCGTCAACAACAGCAATAGCACAACATGCTTTCCAACAGCACCAACAGCAGATCCATCAGCAGCAGCAGCCGCCGCCACAGCAGCTCCAGCATCAGCAGCAGCTCCAGCATCAGCAGCTCCAGCATCAGCAGCAGCTCCAGCATCAGCAGCAGCTCCAGCATCAGAAGCAGCACCAGCAGCAGCACCAGCAGCAGCTCCAGCACCAGATCCATCAGCAGCAGCAGCTCCAGCAGCAGCAGCAGTCCATATCGGCGGTGGCAGCAGCAGCACACCATGCTCCCCGGCAACAACAACAGCAAGGAAAGGATAGTTCACCAGCAGCAGCAGCAGGGCAAGCACCAACAACATCGTCACGCTCCGCATCAGCGTCGGTGGGTACTGGGATTGCTACTCGCCCTGTTGCTAGGCACACGGCTGCCACCCCTAGTGCTTCTTCACGGGAATGCGAGGAGATTCGACAGTTCAGTCTCGGCGCCGAGCTAGTGGCGTCACCTGGCAATGACATGACCCGGGCCGTGTCACCAAAGATGGCCCAGCAGCTTGGTGAGCTGATCGAGGATAGAGAAGTGAAGCTGGCGATCACAGATGAGCGCTATCAGAAGTGCTTGCTAGAGCTGTTGTTCTTGGATGCTGGCGGTGAAATGGTCGACTACCATCTTTGGCGTAAGCGCAAGAACCCGTATCGAGACACGTTTCTGGATCTGAATCCCATCGAGAACGAATCGTTTGAGTACAATCTGCCGCCCGACCCGGTGCGGACGCAGGGCCAGCCCACGCCATCCAGCTCCACAGCCGCTCACAGCAGCACTGCCGGCGCCTCTCGCACCCCGACGGTAACGAGCACATCGCAAGCGACGGCGACGACCACGCCGACTGTGGCGCCGATGGCTGCAGCAGCAGCAGCACCCCAGCCACCAGCGCCGCAGCCGCCGCCGCCGAAAGTGTCCCGTGGCCGTGCGCCCGACTCTCGCCCACGCATACACGCCTACACTGGCCCTGTGGCCAGGTCGCGCAAGGACCGTGAGAGCAGCGGCTCGCGTAGCGGCTCACGCGTGCGCTCTCCGCTGGCCTCACCAAAGTCACCGCAGTCGGGCGCCACGAGTCTGGTTTCCTCTCCAACGCACACAGGTAACTAACTACGAGATGGCATGCCACGGTTATCTCCTGATAACCAAGACTTTGCTTTATTGTGTAGAGCGGTACCGCGCACAGTGTAGAAGATGATAAATAATAATATGTGACAGGTCGCGTACAACATGCATTGACACAATCGGTATGAGATTATTCTGCAACACATTATTGTGTTGAGCTGACCTGCGAATCCACGGAATGGCAGTAGTAATTTGTCAATGTTTCCCGCAGAGCTGTCCGACTACTGATCGTAGTGGGATTGAGAGCAGCTCGGTGAACGCCAATCGTCTCGCGTCAAAGAAATAATTATGAGCAGCACTGTAGCAGTTGAACTCGGATGGCGAGCCAATTAAATTATGGTGAGAAAGGAGAAGGACAAAATGTTGCTGACTGTGTACGATCTGGTTACGTTGGTGGACAGTTAGTCATAACTCGTAACATTTTGTCCTTTTCCTTTTTCACTGTAGTAATTGTGCAGTATTGTACATATACTGTACAAGCAGAAATATTCGTCTGGAATTTAACTTCGTCTTTAACTTCGTCTTTTTCGTCCAACGAGCTGTTGGACTAAATTAAATGCCGGACTAATATTGATTTGTCCAGCTTTTCAATACACTCTTATGATCCATGGACGAAATTTACAACCGGACGAACCCCCTTTCTTTGGAGTTGGACGAAATTATTGACCGACGAAATTTTCTGCTTATACAGTATGTATCCAGTGACACATGTAAGTGAACCGGCACGCATGCACACATGCGCACGCGCACACACGCACACACACGCACGCCTGTTCGTGCCGCTGTTCATTTTCCGCACCCCCTCCCGCTCTCTTTTCTCCTTGCATTCGTTTCGTTACTGCACAGGCAGCACCAGCAGCAGTCATGGTGGTCCAGTGTCGCCACCACTGGAGCAGCAGGTCACCAGCAGCACCATCAGCAGCACCAGTAGCACCACCAGCAGCAGCACCAGCACCGGCATGCGCAGCCAGCACAAGTGGGTGGAGAACATGGAGATGACGATGACGCACGGCTCGCAGGAGATTGCCGAGCAGGCCAAGCACGAGGCCGACGTGCGAGTGCGCATGGAGGCGCTGCAGAAGGACGGCCTCTGGTCGGCCATGCGCACCAGTCCCGTCGACGAGCCCGCGAGGCCGAAGTCCCACTGGGATTTCCTGCTGGAGGAGATGGAATGGCTCGCCGGCGATTTCATGAAGGAGAGACGCATCCGATCCTCTTGGGCACGAAAGGTAATATATTCCTGTTTGTTTCCTTTCTGTTTTGCATGGGTGCAGTGAATGGGATTTTCGGTCTTCGACCACTTTCCTTGTGGGCTGATCTACTCACCTCCCACCGCTTTAGGAGATGTATCTGCACCTTAGATCTTTGCAGGGTGGCGGCGTTCCCATGGATGCTGAAAACTCAGTCTAACTCAGTCTCAAGCGAACCGTGAATTTTTTATTTTTTTTCTGGTGGAACCCAATGTTCTATTTTTTTCATCTTTTCTTTTGTAGTGGAGGTGGGGTGCTAGTTGTTAGTTGTGCCTGGACTAACTGGCAGTGTAGGGGCACGGAATATTTGTAATCCGAGTGAATTGTCAAGGTCTTGTTTCGTTCGTTCAGACTCGATTATGTTGTAAATGGCAAACGGTGCGCACTGTAAAGGACTAAAGGTGCAGGCTTGCTTAACTGCTGTGAAGGCATGCTGTGTGGAATGCATACGGCTTTGTTGTACAAGTTCTGAACAGTGTACAGTCAGACCTCGCTTATCCGGTTTTCTTTTATCCGGATCCCTCGCCATCCGGAAGAAAATAGCTGGTTACATATTTACAGCATGCGTGATGCATCCAACATAAACGGTGTTCGGTTATCTGGTTCCCTCGCCTATCCGGAATTTTTTGTGGAAAACAGATGTGTGCGTTTATGCGAGGTCTGACTGTATTACACCATGGGACTTCAGTCGTGGCACTGTCCTCTGCGGCGAGTGTTGGATTTTACTTTTCAACAGCAGTTATTACTGTAGAGAGGCGCTACGCACACTGTGTCCCCCGAACGCCCATTGTGCATTGCCAAATATGGAAGGTATGAGTAATGCATGTGAGTACGCTGGGATCAGCAATGCACTGTTCAACACCCCCAGACGACCATGCCCGGGTGGCTGTGTGGGGGGTGTTTATGGTACAAATCATGTCATTGTGCAAATGGGCTCATTCCCTGTGCTCTGTTCTGCAGCTGTCCAAGGCAGTGCTGCGCCACCACAACGAGAAGGCCACCCGGCAGCAGCGCATTCGCAAGGAGAGCCAGGCCAAGCTGCGGCGCATAGCCAGCGGCATGGCCAAGGACGTGCGCGGATTCTGGGGCAACATTGAACGGGTAAGCACCATAGTGTCTTGTATTAAAGCCTATCTCGTATAGAAGCCTGTTTTGAATACCAGCCTGACTTTCAAGATACACTGTCGGCACACAAGCCTGGGTTTAGTGTTGACACACATAGAAATACCTAGTTTGGATAGAAGCCTGATGTGGATAGAAGCCTAGCCCTGACATCGGTAGTAGAGTGGTGTTCACATCAGTTTGTCATGTGACTAAATTTGTGCAGAAAGTGAGTATGTCATGTGGACAGTGAAACCAACATGGCCACCGACATCATGTGACCCATAGGTGCAGGCAGGGTTTGTGTGGAGGTGGAACTTGGAACCAACATGGCTGTCCCGTATGGTCATGTGACAGCTGATGTAGATAGGTACTGTAAAACCGGAAAGTTTAACAACCATTTTTTTTTGTTGTATTTTTGGCACGACAGTGTGCAGAACGTTTAACGATGGCTACCTGGTCACCCATCTCTGTATGCGCATCTTTACACAGACATCTAGCGATAACGTTTCTTCGAATAACGAAAAAAATGATCGTTAAAACGTTAGACTTTCCGGTTATACAGTAGGTACGTTTTGATTTGAATTTGCAGAACCAAACGGGCGCTGTCGCCCAATTGCATGGAAGCGAATGGAAACAAATACATTCTTGTAGAACATAGCCTAACACGATAGCAGGGTGTAGTACAAAGCAAAGAACGCTCAGGCAATGAATACCGTTAGAACGAAACACAGGGGAGGCGGTAGACAGCACGCGACTGGTACTGTGGAGTACCGCAAACGTTCAAAGGTACATATTAAGAGTTCGGGCATCCTGGGTGCTCACCGGAAAACTGATGTTGGCAGCTCTTGGGGAGAATACTTGAGCGTGTGGATTTAAAGACGCTATAGCAGTGAAAAGTAATAAGTAGTAAGAGAAAGAACAATCATGAATGAGCAGAAGCCATTCCTTACCGGTTATTGGCTTCCTCGCCGTCTCCTCACACGTTGCGCAAGGCGGTGCATCTCTTTTTCAGATGCCTCATTTGCCCATGCGATTTGAGGGTCTAACGCCAGAGGGTCTAACGCCAGGACTCTTGCGCTGAACGTATGCTTGCCGGATGCACGGATAAAGTAAACCCTTCGTCATCAGGTGATGGGTGACACCCCTTCCCGCGAGAGAGCGGAGATGCCAGCACTCCATGCGTGGCCTTTGGTTCTGCTGGCAGGGTTGTTGGCGTGGCGACTGGTGCAGAATAAGCTGCTCACCGTACAGGTATCTTAGAAACCCTTGGTTGCTGCTTGTCGCTGTGCTGCTGCTGCTGTTGTGCGTCTGTGCCAGCGGTAATGTCCGCAGACGCCACTTGCTGCTGCGTGTCGTTGCTGAGGCCAATTTCCGGACTGGCAGTTTTCTCCCAGCCACGTTTCTTTCCCTTCGTACTCAGTACGGGGCACTTCCTTGCCTCGTGGCTTGACTTGTTGCACTGCCAGCACGTTTTAGCCTGTCCTTTGTGCCATGTACACAGCTTCAGCTGGCCGACTGCTACACACGAAGGTACGACTGTACGCAGCACAATAGTGACGTGCTTGGTGCCCGTTTCAGTTTCGAAATTCTCAACCCGAAATTTTCCTCGCCAAGGGACCCCCATCACTGAGCCAAATTTCAGGAATGAGGCAACAACAGCACTATCCGACAGGGAATGGGGGCATCCAAATACATGCACGCTGACAACGTCAGCGCCACTGATAGTTAATTGAACGGGTTTACCAGCAACAGAGATGCCTTTGGAAAGCACACGATCCCGAAACACCAGGCTTGAAACAGTTACTGAGCAAAATCCACGACGGCCGTGGAGGTTGATTTGCCGGATGTCAGAGACCGTAATTCCGCTACTCATCAGATTCTCTATGTAGAACATGTGCTGGCTTGGCCAGTCATCTTCAAGTTTGAAGGTAAATGCAGCAGAGATCGCAGCTCGGTTTTGGCCTCCCGCCTCCATTTTTGAAATAAACAAAAAACAAAAAATGTGAAACCACTCTATTAGTTGAACTGGCAGCAAGACCAGGAAGCTGCTTCTCAGCAATAAGCCCATTGTGCATTGCCAAACGTATGGACGGTATGAGTAATGGGTGAGTAATGCATGTGAGTATGCTGGGATCAGCAATGCACTGTTCCCAGACGACCATGCCCGGGTGGCTATGTGGGGTGTTTATGGTGCTAATTACGCCATTACGCAATGGGCTTATCCAGGGGCATTTGGTCACCTTCAATCTGAGTACAGGTGGAATCCTGATAATTCGAATATGGCTTACTCGAACATACCGCGTAATTAGAACTTTTTCCAGGCCCGGTTTCTATCATTACGATTCCCACATAAACAAATTCTGATAATTTGAACCTCGAACTGGACGTGTCCGGTTCATTAGAAGTCCCACGGATTCCAATTCCATAGAAAATGTGTGGGATTTGTGCTGATAATTCGAAGTTAGCAAAGTGTAATTCAGAATTCACTATACACTGCACTGGTCAGTTCAGTTTGCATGAGCAGGCTGTGCTGGTCAGTTCAGTATCCGTGAAATCTGTGTCTAAGGTCAATAGCGCACCTCTGCGTGACCATGAGAGCTTTTTGACATACATATTGTGTTGTGGGTGCATGTTTGGATAAATAGAATATCCGGATAATCAGAAGTTTTTTTCCTGACATTAACGTGTGCATGGTGTCATGATGATGTCATCCGTAAAACATGTTCCTGGACCGAATCGTCCGAATGGGTGCTTTCAAGAGACCGGTCGTCGTTGGTGCTCTGCCGCTCTGTACGAAACAGTGCAGCACCCATTTCCTCCGACAGGTTTGTACGCACCTCGTCACTGTGCGCCTGGTCCATGGCGGGACG